AAAAAAAAAAAAAAAAAAAAAAAAAAAGGATGAGAAAGTTGTTCTCAAGGCTCCTCATCCTGTACACAAGAATATCTTAACACATCACTGTGGCAGAGTCTTAATAACAACATTATCATTTAAAGGACTCGTATCTCTGCCAGCAGCTTTCCTGTTTACCAAATCAAAAGAAGAAATTATGTTCTCAGCACCCTAGCACCTCAATAGGGAAGTTGTTTTTTTCTTTTTTTTTTTCCACCACTGTTAAGCATCAAATCCTTATTTCACAGGACGGTTACTCGCCGTGAAAACCCCCAAAAGTTATTATGCTTTTATTTTGAGTTACATATGAGTAAAGAGAATGTACCATCATCACTGGCATAAAAAAAAAAGTGTGATCTGTTTAGCAGATCTGACCCATTTCTATTTCCTAGTTATGAACACCATGCCTGCACATGTGCAGTCAAGTTCATCAAAAACACGTTTTATGTTATTTTATATAGATATACATATGAATAAACCCGATGCTTACCATAGGGAGGTGCAGGCCTCTTAGGCACACTTTTCTTTGGGATTGGGAGTACAGGATTGTCCGACTTCTTCTCAGACACAAGACAAAAAGAAAAGAAAAACCATTAACTGTATACAAAACGATGACCCCAACAGAAATGTCAGCTAAGATGTAAAGCCTCTGGACTTATACAAGGTCGACTCTTTTCAGAAATGTGATAAATTGGAAGGAAAAAAAAACAAGACCTCAGTCACGATGAAAGTTAAATTAACAGCACGGCTTTCTTCAGCTTTAGTGGAAAACTATGCTTTATGGTGCAACTGATTCATAACTTCAAGTCTCCAGAGCTTACCTTTGACATCTGACTAAAGTCAGCAAATCCACCCCCCTTGCTTCCAAAAGAGTTGCTTCCAAAGGGGTCTGCTTTCCCAAACAAATCTGTGACAAGAGTACATTGAAACGCATTTGGAACATTTGAATACATTTATGGAAAGAGCCAGAAACTATAATGAAGTTCAGCCCCAAACCACACATTCAAAATCCTCTCTGCATCTTGCTTATTCTGAAAGGGCCTGTTTTCTATTTTCAGAAGAGGCAATGTGGCATGACCGTTTAATTTTCCATGACATTTTACAAAAAAACCTGTAAAGCAGAGGTTTTGTTTAACCTGACGTATGCATTGGGCGTCATTTGGCGTCCCGTTAACTATAACCATGCCTGGCTTGTTTTGAAGCTCAGCAGTATGCCACTTAATGAAAAAAAACCCTGCATTTTTTCACCGTGAAAAAACAAAACATCGTAAGAGAATATGTTTGTTGTGAGTGTTCGACCACAAAAGACCCGTTCATGTGCAGGATCGGTGTTTTTCTTTTGCGCACAGTAACTCAGCTCAGGTCTACAGTCGACTCTGTGTTCATCTTAAACACGTGTAGCACGGCAGAGCATCAACCAGCAGCAGCCACCAACTTAAAACAACTTCCGCACCAAAAGAGGCACAGCAGTTCAACAGCAGCACGTATAAAGACAGGACAGAGGCAGGAGGGAACTGGTTAAAGGAGTGGCAGTGTATTCTAGTAGAGAAGGACCAGCAGTCACAGAGTTTCTGTTATGCTTGGCTCCGGTTAGCCTCCTGTTTTTCCAGGGGGTGGGGGTGGGGGGTGGGGGGTATTTTTAGTTGGTCAGTAGTTAAATGTGTAGGTACTTGACTAATAATAGCCCGAAACCACAGGAAAAATTGAAGCCACAGTGAGTAAAAATTGTTTGCCCCTGGTGCTCCCCCCAAAATAAAATCTAAATCTAACACGTCACCCAGAATGGGCAAAAAGACTCTTTTAAGATGGGTTTCACAACTAAAGAGAGTTCTCATGTTTAGATGTCTGCTTTTAGAGTCATATTTTCAGTAAAAGGCTTGGAAAATCTGCTCTTATTAGTACAGGGATGACTATACGTGGAAATCGGCATGGATTCGTGCATGAAAACACGATCATACATCATCATCTCAATAACAGCGAATGGAGAAGGATGAGTAACATATTTAAATATAACCTGTCCAACTTATGTACGACAAACTAGCTACATGAGGCCTCTTCCTGTTAAAGTTAAAATATGTTTTTTTTGCCTCTCAAAGTACTTGATTAAAGGGGATCATCAGATTGTTATGGTTCTTGAGATGACTGCTGGTATGAGCTGGTTGCTATTTTAATAAAAGTGGAATTGAAAAAATGCTAAACTGAAGAACTCTGCGACTATGTGCAAACAAATTATTCTGGGTTTTAATAATTTGAGATTTAAAGTCTCTTTCAGTGTGCTTTGACTTCCCATGTTGCTTCTGTACCTGAATCCTTTGTTTTTGGGCTGTTTGATCTGAAGGAGTCACTGCTGCCAAAAGGACTTGGCTGACAAATGCAAAAGAAGGGGAAAAAACAAAAACAAACAGAGTGAGATTTAATTCAGTCAAACACATTTAAAATGTACACACTATGACCACGCCACAAATCTCTTTCTGGTTTGCTTTTCCATTTATCTACAAGCACAAAAAAAGAAAATCTTCTTGAACTAATAATCGCACTGCATCTAAAAGAGCCATATTAGCACTCCAAAGTAGTATCACTTGGGGAAGGGGGGGAAAAAAGTCAATACCTTGACTGGAGGTACAGGTTTTCTGCTAAAGGGGTCTCCAGATCCAAACAAGTCTGGCCTGTCAGTTGTCTTAAAAAAGTCTTCAGATGAGGTGCCTTTGAAAGGGTCGCTTTCTTTGAAAGGATCACTTCCAAATGGATCTAGAAAAAGGACACCACCATAATTTACATCCTCTAACAAGAAAAGCTCATTAGAAGGGATACAAACTGAATGCAAGCAGCAGCTGACGGAGCCACAGTCGTTACAGAAAAAGGAGTAAATAAGGAGACTTGAAGTATTCACACCTTTGAAGAGGTCAGATTTGAAGGGATCCTCCATCTTGAAGGGGTCTGCTCGAGTCTCCTTGGCAGCACTGTTGTTGTTGAACATGGCTATCCTTGACTTTAAAGAGCCCTCCTGATTAACCATCCAGAAAACAACAAATCAGCAACAATCTTATCAGTAAAGCCCTTTACCGATGTACCCGGAAAATATCCAGAAATTAACTTCCACGTTACAAGTCTGGGTACATTTGCACTTCTCTAGCATCTCCAGAGCAAAACGACAAAGGAAACAAAATCTGAATCCAGATTATTAGAGAACAGAAAAATTGAGTTTCTTGGATTTAGACTAAAATTGTATTGTGAACGAATCATCCTTCATAGGTAGTTGTGGTCTCCTCACCGTACTTCTGAAACTTCCATCCTCCCTTTCAGCAAAGCCTTCACTTAGGTCCGGCAGGTTGCTCAAGTTTCCTGCGTTGATTTCTTTCAAAGCATTGTTGTACTGCTCAATGGTCTTGGTCAACTCTTTCTGGCTCTCCTGAATCAATGACAACTTACCACGAGCCTAAAAAAACACAAAGAATGTCAATCTACAGTATACCAACATGCTTCTAAAGAACCACACTGATATCTATCCACTTATGTCCAAAGGTAGGTAGGTTAAATCATTCACTGTTCACTTCCTACAAGTCTATGAACCAATAATTTCCACTATGACAATACAAATACTGTGACCTCCTCTGGCCCTGACAAACGTTCGCTGTATCATGACAAAAGAAAAAGCCAAAACTGAAAATGAAACTAAAGAACTAAAGACTAAACTTAGAGTCTTTAGACTTAACTAAAGAAAATCTAAAGTAAAAGGAAACATTTTTAAATATTAAAAACTAAACTGAAATAAGAAAACGGTTTCCAGACACCAACTGAAATAAACAGACTTCAAAAGAAAAATAAATACAAAAAAAATAATACAATAATTCCACTACTTAAAGGGAGCATAACAGTAACCAAATCTGCATCAACTGGGGCTAACAAATTTTCGGGTAGAAATGCTGGCTGTCGTTTTTAGGCAGGATTGTAATCTGGATTTATTTCAGCTAACAGAAACAAACATGGTGCTCAAATCTGATGAATGCACCAGACATTAAAGTCACTAAACAGAACTGGCTGTAAGCAGTTTAGGTGTTTTGTACCTTTAAAGCGTGACAAATATGACTGTCAGAGGAGTAAGAGAGTAAACGTCTGCTTCAAAAATGATTATTTAAAAAACAAAAGAAAAAAAAACAAGTTCAATTCAAACTTGGATTTAACTTTATGTACTAGTTGAAACTTCACTAGTACATAAGCATAAATTCAATTCTACCTCTGTATAAAAGTGTTATTATTAGTACTACTGGATATTTAGACCTTTATCCCACTTTCCAACCTGATCTTTAATCCCAACATTGCTATTATGGAGCTTGGTGGTCTGAAGTGGCACAACATCCTAAAGTAACCTGTTGCCTTTCCCTCTGAACTGACCTGACTGATCTCATCCTGGGTGGTTTTGAGTGACTTAATGATGCTGTCCAGCTGAGTCCGACCGGACAGCAATCTCTGCTCTAGCTGTGCCTCCTCCTCTTGGACTCGACTCAGGTCCGTTTTGGTGCGACTCAGTTCATCTTCCTGACTGCGGAGGTCAGTCTCCTGTGAGCGGATCTGGCTCTGCAGGGATGAAATCTTCCAAACAAAAAGAAAGAAAGGAGTTTATATCTACAGGATCAACATCCTGCTTGCTGTTCATTTAGAAATTGTAGATTTCAATTATAAATTTTTTTTAAATACAATTAGTGCTTCACTTCTTACATATATATTTTTTTTCACATCCATCTTGCGCCAACAAACTAAAAGCCAAATATGCACAGCTGCCTCTTAAGCAGTTACACTGACTTTCTAAACAAAGACCTTATTGTATATGTGGTGAATGTGTTTAAAAATACTAACTCTCACCACTTTCATGTAAACAAATCTTAACCTCAGATGACCAGTGTTTTGACATCTGGCCTGATATCTAAGATTGCACTGACACCAAACCATTATCAGCTTAGACCAAAAAGATTACACTACAGTAAAACCACAAATGCATGTGTACCACTGTCACCAGTAGCCAAACACAAAATCCAATAACATTTCTCAACTGAAATACATGCGCATCACTTCAGTGTGTCACATCTCTAACCTTCTGGGTTTCATCCTGGCACTTCTGCTTGATGTCGTTGAGCATTCCCTCAAGCCTGGAGCGCTGTTGGTCCATTTCCTCCAGGCGTACCTGGGCATCCTGCTTCTGGGACTCCAGGTCTTGCAAGCTGCTGCTCTCCCTTTCCAAATTATTCTGCAAGTCCTGAGGGTCAAGGAAAACCCACACAGAGGTACATGTGTTTGCAGAAAGTATAGCTATTAGGCATGATCTTTTCTGAGTTATTAAGCCTTGAGTTCCCCTCAAAATGATGCAATTTGTGCTGGATTTGAAGTATTTCTGACAACTTTTAAATTGTAGAATAAAATGGACTGGAATTTACTCATGAATACCATTAACTTTAACTTAACTTTAACCAGGCAAACTAAATTATTTTATTTTATTCAGTCTTACCTGCACATCACTGTTTTTTTGTCTGAGGGCCTCCTCCTTTTCTCTGATCTCATGCTCCAGGATGAATTTGTCTCTACAGATGAAAAACACGAGCCAAACAATGGCAGAGAGGTTATAAAATGGACATCACTCACCAACAAACAAAAGAGAGGCAAATGACAAAAATTATACCCAGTGTTTCATTTTTCTGTCTAGATTTGCAGGCAACATAATGGATGAGAGAAATCAGAATTAAAATATTCAATCAAAATGATCTGCCAACATTGATTTCTATTTTACAAGAAATGAACACACCTAGTAACCTTTAATGTTTTAAATGTAAAAAGTTCAACGTTTCAGAGGTCTAATGGGCATCAGCACCGAGCAGTAAAATAAATGCATTAATGTGAACTGATGCACTCTGTGTGCTTGTAATGGAAATCAATTCACAACAATTACTTTCATCTGTTATTTCCAACTACAGTGTTACTTTTTACTGGTATTTATTTTATTTTATTTTTTTTATACGGACACTACAGATCTCCAGCGACTCATCAACTGCCCCATTTTACGTGAACGTACACAGAGCCTGCAGCCAAATATCTGGTTTAACAAAGAATGCTGAAACCGCTAACGTGATGCGATATCTGTTATCTCTGACTGTGGTTTTCTAGTTTTGTCAAGCCACCCTAATGCAACGAGACTAAACAAAAAGAGGCTAAACTCGCTCATAGTCCTTCTGCAGCACATTCATTATGACTATGTCACTGTTGGTGCGTTATCAAGTGCCCTGTTAAAAAAAAAAAAAGGTTACTTGAGATGAATTTTTAATACTTTTTATTGGCTTATAAATGTATTTTACAGTATGCGCAAATCTATTTTGAATTGTAAATGCTAATGGAATGATTCCATACGCTGCAGTCTTTATACACTATTCTTTGACACATTCTCTTAGTTGCTTCCTTCTTACACCACAAGTTTGGCCATAGGGTGAAAATACTGACTGCAAGAAAAAACTATTTACATCAAATGTTAACTCATGACCATGACTTCCTGGACTGCTGTCAATAGCCAGAAAAGGCCAGCAGCCAGTTAATCAAGTTGCCCAACATGTTTTTTTGTGTGGGGTCTTTGTTCGTTTTGTTTTTTTAAATTAAACATACTCTGGGCCATTTGGGGTAATGATTATATTAAACCCTGGTGCCAAATTACATTAGAAAAAATTATGTAGCATCAAAAAGCAGCATGCTACTTCAGCTGAGATTGTATTAATGTCTCTTGTGATAATAAAAATATATTTAACAATATATTTAACAGTCCAAAAACCGACAAAGGTATAGTCAACTGTGACCATTTAATGCAATTCATTTTCATGTTTGTCAGCAATCTGTATAGAGTTACACAGTGAGAAGTATGTTGACAGCTGTTGAGTACAATGCATCCTGTATACAAACAGTACAATAGTATGAAAAAAACTTTGATCTAGAACATCACCTTACTAAAAGCTTGTCTACTTTTTCCCCACAGGAAGCGAAACAAAACTGTCCCTACTGCTAGTTAGGGTTTAGTGGGCTCACCTCTGCAGATGAGATATTTCCTTACTCAGGTCATCCAGCTCTTTGATACCTGTCGGCTCTGTCGACCCTGTGTAGCCGATACCGTCCTGAGGCGAGAGACATTGAGACAGACGAGTTAGACAGGAGAAAAAAGGTAGGAGAGAAGATATGAGGGTGACTGGAGGGGAGCACAGAAACAGTTGATTAGGACTGGGAAATGGACAGGCGAACGACGAAGAATCTGTTCTAATAGGCGAAGGAGTACAAGGAGGGAAAAGAGGTCAGGGAAGATGTGAGTGATATGCAGTGGGAAAGAGGTGCTCCCCGCTGTTGTGTCTAAAGAAACAAAAGTCAGAGGAAGGAAATACAAACAGCTCACACAGTTAGCGTAGGAGCAAGCCAGCCAGACGATACATAAATTGCACACAAGGCTATTTAAAAGAATTCAATGCAACAGTAAATTTTGGAAGACTGTTCATTGTTAAACAGACCCATGCCGTATCAAGAGGCCTAAACGAAAAATATTGGGCAATTCGCAAAATTGCTGAAGCAGACCAAGACAACACATAATCTATTTAAGCTTCGCGTTTCACCTGAAATAGGAGACTATCCATGAGAGCTACACAATAGTAGCAGAACAATACAGAAATATAACTGATAGCTGATGCCAACACCATCAGCTATTGGTTCATTTCCTATTTATAGTTGTTATTGGCCCAGAATTTCAGTGCATTTAAATTAAATTGTGTTTCTTAGAATTTACTGTAATGACGACATTAATCTAATAATATTAATAATAAAAGCATGATTGGTCTGAAAAGCTCAACTGGAGTAACTGATTTGTTTTCCTCACCTTGGCAGTCAAGCTTAAACCCACTTAGTTCAGACAGATTAAATTTTACTTTTACACTCATTGAAAAATAAAAAGCTAACTTCTTGGTAATGGTAATTCATGTTTTTTCCCCCAGATAAATTTAAATAAAAGGTTACATGCTGGTTTACTTGATTGCCCACTTAACAGTGGCCCCATTTCTCTACTCATATTAAAAATGATTTGTTCTATTATATCCTCTGTAATATAATAGAACGGTATTCTCTTATGCTGCGTTTCCTTGAAGATCAAAAAATGTCAAGCCAGTGATGATGAAAATACAGCAGGTGGCAGCACTTTAAATGTTCCCATATTATTGTTCACCTTCTCTTTGGAACAGAGAGAGAGAATATAATAGAACAAGAGCGCCACCTTGTGGCAAAGGCCCAACTACTCACAATGTGCACCTTAAAAAAGGAACCAAGTTCTGGTCTCACAGAAGACAAACCCCACATAGTTCTGTTAGACAGGATAGAAAAGATCCCAAGAAGGCAAAAGAATAAAAACTGTAAACAATAAAAAAAAAAAGAAAAAAAAAGAAAAGGTTTTGCATTTGAGGACTAGAAAGCAATAAATAAGAACCACTTAAATAGCATAAGTTATGAAGGTAAACACACTGACGGTACAGATGCAAATTTTTAAAAAGCACTTTGTAAAAAAGGAAAAAAATTGTAATAAACTGGCAAACAGACAGATGGAGAAGTGGTTGGAATATGGTACAGGCAGAACTCACAAAGCCCATAGCTGATGATGCAGATCGTTCTGATGGAGGGATCATGTCAGGAGTGAGAGTAGAGGGAGGGTCGATGCCTTTATTGACCTTTTGTTGGATCAAATGCATGGCTAGAGCAAACTGCTCCTCGTTCAGCTTGCCTGTTTGTTTTGTGTCAGCAAGTCCCCTATGGAGGAAGAGGAGACATTTTTCTCACCCTATTACATACTTCTGAGCAATAATATCAGCAATTTTTACAAATATAAATCCCCACTGAGTGGTTACCACGGACAAATAGTCCATTTTATGCTGGTTAAGTGAGCATCCTTTAAATCATTTTTTTTTTAAAAAACACTTCTGTTGCACTTCTCTAGACCAAATGTAGTCATTTGGTTGAACTCAGATGATTTGTCAATGCCTTCAATAACTTGACCTATAAATTCGCAATTTTGAACATTTATATACACTACAATACAACTTCATAGAATATAAACAATTAATATTTGCACTGCCTTTTAAAATTTTAACTACACCCTACTCTTGTTTACACAGCATTCGCTTTACTTTATTATTTTCTATTCTTAGGTGTATTTAATTTTTTTGTCATTTGTGTATTTAGTTGTGTGAAGGGAACTTGCAAAGTAAGAATTTCATTGCTCATTGTAACCATTTGTGTTTTTATTGTATATGACAATAAACTTCTTGAATCTAATTTTAAGTGGCCACAAGATGGTGCTATATAGCTTTATCTGGGAGAATCCTCCTGACTATGTTTGTATTTTTAAAAATAGAGAAAAAAAAAAGCAATTTCCCCATTCAAATTGATTTTAATCTGAATAATCTGATATTGATTCATTTAAAATTAATTTTTAAATATAAATGTATTTTGCCATAAAAGCCAGAACCTCAGCTAAAAGCTCACAAAAACATTTCAACAATTGCCAAACAGCTAAAACAGCAAATGATTAAAGAGCAGGTAAACGGATTTTGCAAAAAGATGTAAACAAGGCGTCGTTAACCCGACAGCTCGTACATGGACATGTCGAGTGCCGAAAGCCGACATCTGACAGATTCTGAACTGCAGGCTTCGTCACTCTCTGACCAATATACCTCTATACTTCAAGACCAGTTTCCCATTAAAAAAAAAACCTCTATTTTCCTGCATTATTCACTTGCCTATTACGCACCAGTCTGTTGTATACATTGTTGTCAGCTTCTGATTTTTTCTCTCCCCAAAATAATCTCCGACAGTGATAAAATCGCTGTAACTTTGCTCTGTTTTGCTTCAGCAGCATCAGTCTTTGTACAGGTAATGTCCACATGTTAATTCGTGGTTTTCTTTAGTTTTTGATCTACTGCAGCGTATTTTCAGGGGGGTTATATGCTATAAAAGATCAAGCCAGGAAAATCTCCTTCACATTTTTCTCTGTTTTATCCTCAGTTACTTTGACACAAAGGCATTTGCTGTGATGCTTACACCTCTGATAATGTCTCACACGTGTCAGTTCTGTTTTTTTTTTTTTTGTTTGATTTGGTTTTTTTCACCTCCTTCGTAATTGCACAGAAATAGTCAAATAATTTGGAATGATGCATTTTTAACTTACAATGTTTAGAGAGTTCTTTGAACAGTATACATCCAAGAGGAATTATCAGAATTATAATATTTCTGACAGAGTCAAAACTGAATTGAATCAAAACAGGACAAAGTGTAAAAATGTATGAAAATGTTGACATCTTCACCAATTTAACACAATGGCAACAAAAAGAGTTAGGTCTATAACTTTTTGAACAATGAAACAGTTTTTGTGACACCAACACAGTGGATTTTAAATGTACACGTTAAGATAAAACCTATCAGAGAGATGGCAACAATTTTAGGACTGGTCAAATCCACAAACTTGTTCTCTCCTAATAAGAAGAAATGCAATTGAAAGCTCAGGAACACCCGAAGTTCATGATGACAGAATTATTTCTATGGTTATGAAAAATGACCCATCATTTTTCATATAACCAAATCAAGAACACTCTCCAGGAGGTACACATACAATCAAACACCTTTATGAATGTGTAAGCAACACAGTGCCCAGCACAAATGGATAATAACTCAACACAAACTGCAAAAGAGCCCGAATAGTTTCTCAAGGGCAAGAAATTGGATATTCTTTGACGGCCAAGTGAGTCACCTGATCTCAACCCAACAGAGTATGCTTTTCAGTAACTGAAGACGAAACTTAAGGCATAGAGAGCTGCTAACAAGCAGCAACTAAGGGTGGCTGCAGTAAAGGCCTGGCAGAGGTTTTCAATGGAGGAGAGACAGTATATGGCAATGCCCATAGACTTCAGGCAGTCATTAAATGTAAAGGAGTTTTATCCTAATAATGATTAATGTAATACTTTTATTGATTCCCTTATGAATGAAAACTGAAAGTCTGCACTTCAACCATATATGAATTATTGTATTTAAAAGCCACTGTGAGGGTGTAATGAAGAAAATGTAATTTGCTTGTGTTTTCTTACACTGTAGTGCTTTGGGACCATGTTATTCACAACATACAAAAAAACCCCAACAAACAAAATCTCTAAATATGTCTGAGCTGAGCTGTGGTCTTACCATATCTGTGCGAGCATCGTCTGGGAGAGCGTACAGTTCATGAAGAGTTCGATGACATCGCCGCCGTTGACGAGGCCGTCATTGTCAGTGTCCGTGTTCTTGAAAATTTCTTTATATTTCTCTCTGTCAGCCACTGGTACAACCCAGTTCACCGCCGGCTAGAGACAACAGAAGACATTGTGCGATATGAAATGATGAACACAGCATTCAGTATACAACAAACACACAGTTCTTCTTCAGTGCAGACAGGTTTACTTCATACAACAAGAGGAATTTGTGAATCTGCACAATGGAATGGTTAAAACAGATCAGTAAAAACAAAACACAACAAAAAAAGAACAAAAACACGGTCCTCAGCTAGATGGAACTGCATTTGTAGGATGCAGGATGCTTTCTCACTGCCCTATCACAAACATTCACACAACATACACAAGACATTAAAACTGTAACTAATCAAGCTAATAAAAAATGCAAAAAATATATGCAAAAAAATGCAAAGATGACCTTGCATTTTATTTCTGTCAAAAAACAAACTATTAAAAAACAAAATATACGATAAAGCATTTAAAGAAGCAGAAAGGGCCATGAATTAAAAAAAAAAAAAAGACAGAACAACATAACAACTGATCAAGTGGTCAAGGTACAAAGGTAGTACAAGTATTGCTACTCGTTACTTTCAAGAAAACCTGTTT